TAATGTCCTCTTTTCTAGCGATTCTAAATCGCTACTTCTAAATGCCTAAGTCTATAGCTATAGCGTAGTACTTGAGAACAGGGTTACTAATAACAATAGTAGCTCCCCTATATAGGTTGTCTATATCTACTACGTAGGTAGTAAAGTCTAGTAGGCGTTTATTTCCGAGGTCGTCCTTTAGAGCTATAGGAATATAGTAGGCCCTATAGGTTAAGTGCCGAGCGTTATTAAACTAAGCAAGGGTTAGTAGGTTAGTCTTCGGCAGTTGTCGAAGGTCTAATTGCTTAGCTAGGCGATAGCTAATAAGGGCACTAACTGAATTTCCTAGATCTAGTATAACCTTAGTTTAATAGGTAGTACCCTTCGTGTCCTATACAAGGTAGGAGCGTGTTATAGCTAGCACAATATCGATAGTCTTACGCCGTACGAGGCTAACAGTTGGTGCGGCGCTTATTCTTTTTTCGAAGGTTAGCCTACGGGAGTAGCGTTAGCCGCTAAGAGGTACTTTCGGTGTTTAGCGGAAGTACGGTTAATTCGGGCCTAGTCCTTAGGTTTGTCGCATTAGCCTAGTAAATAGCTAGTACTATTACAATTGAAGCACTTCAATCCGGTTAGAACACTACCGTAGCTATTATTATTAGTTAAGCGGTTAGCGTTATAGGGATACGAGCCTCTTCTACGGCCCCTATTACGGCCTCCTCTATATAGCCGCCGGCTACGGCCTCTTCTATAGTCGCTACTGTTCCTATTGTTAGTATTGTTGTCTTAGTAGGAATCTTAGTTTCCTCCGCCGCGGCTACTACGGCTGCTACGGTTAGTACTAGCTAGTCGGATCCTTAATTCTAGTCGTTATTAGAGCTAAATAGCCCGTTCGGCTGTTTCTACTTCGACTATAAATTGAATGCGTGTTAGATTGGCTTGTTCGAACACACGGCGACGGTCTAATTCGAGGATAAGTTCCTATCTAAGTTTTAGGCGTATCTCGGAGATCTATATAGAATTAGTCTTAGGCGGAAGGTCGTCTTTAAGGGTTTTTAAATAGGCCTCGAATAAGCGAGCCGATTAATTAGTCTTCTATTTAGCTCGAAGATATAGGTCCTAAGTATATTGTTGCCTTAGTATAGGGTTTCTAAGGGTATCTAGCATAATAGTCTTATAGGTCTGCTACTAAATAGTAGTCTAGTCGTTAAGGGAGTCGAAATAGTTATCCTATATACGCTTTAGGTCGCTATTAATATACTACATAGCGTGTACGACTAAGGAATAGTCGTCTAGTAGCGCTTTTAGTACGTTGCGCTAGTTAAGTTTATAGTTACGAATATAGTCGTTATACTACTTCCGACTAGAGCTATTAAATACGGTATAGTCCTTAAGTTTAGTATCCTTCTTTTAGATAGGTAGTAAAGAATGTCCTGCTGTTAGCTTAGCAGTAGTTGTTAGAGATTCCTAGAGGCGGCGAATCTCGAGAAGATTATCCTTTAGCTGTTGTTCTTAACGTAAGGTAGTAAGCCTATTTTAGGTAGCTTCTTAAAGTCTCGCTACTAGTTAGGGACTAAAGGCTAGCTAGCTATATCGACGGTTAACAATATTGTTAAGAATGTCGTCGACAGGCAATTCTAGGTCGTTACCTAGAATTGTAGGTTCTTCTTTAGTAGGTCCTATAGTAGGCTCTTCGGTAGGAGGCACTTTAGTAGGTGCTTTAGTAGGCACTTTAGTAGTAGGTACTGTGCTACTAGCGTTGTTATTGCTAGCGCTGCTAGCGGTAGCACGGTTATTGTTGCTTCGTAATAAGCCGGCTATTGCAATAGAGGGTAATACTAATAATGTATTATTAGCCCCTAAGATACGGATATAGCGGAATTAGTAAATATTAGTCTAGTACGATTAACTTAGTGTAATAGGCCGTGTAGAAGGCCTTGCTTAATAATTAGTACGGTTGTTTCGATAGAATGGTACGTATAGGTCCCGTTCTTCGGGCGTAATATAGTTAGATTAGTCTTATTCGTAGCTATACCGCTAAAAGCTTAAAATAAGGACTATCTAGCTGCTACCCTCAAAGGGTGGATCGAATACTATATAAGAAGGGTTATATTAGTAGGTAGATAGGGTAGTAGTGAATTAGTGTAGTATTCGATAAGGATCTAGGAGGAGAGGGAGGAAGGCAGGAGAGTTGGCCCAACGCCAAGCGCCAAGCCCTGCCTGAGGCATCAAGACCCTGGCTTCACTCGGCCTGATCACATGCCAATCACGTGTAGCCTCTTTGGTCCTGACAGTATCGATGCCTAAGGATAGAACTAGAGAATCACGTGGAAGAATCTACAACACTCGGAGCGCCCAGAGGAGGTAGGTATACGGAGAAGAAAGAGCATAGCTTCAGCCCATCACGGGAGCCGTGGGTACTGGAGGAATTCGTACGCATGGCAATATCTTCTCTGGATCGCCCACTATTCATCGTCGTCGATGGCCTAGACGAGCGCGACAGATTGACTCGCCAAAAGCTGCTTCATGTCTTTACAGATATAGTGCAAGATAACCCACAACTCTGGACACTGTTCTCCAGCCGTCCTATTTATGAAGACATTGACAACTTTGACGGTATATTTCGAATCGAGTTGGTTCCCGATACCAGACGGGATCGCTTCATCGCAGAGCACTTGGTCAAGAAGCAATTGCCTCATTTGCATCAGGAAGTAAAAGAGGTCATCATTGAAAAGTTGTCTCAAAATGCTCAAGGCAGTGCAATCTGGATGAGAATGACCGTTGAGCTTATCGAAAGGGATGGCCTCACGATGTTAGATCCGATGCAGCAATTCTTGCAGGACATGAGGCTCCCCCCAAAACTTTCCGAAGTGTACGAAGATTTACTATTGCGGTGTGCCACGGGCCAATCTGTGCGGCTCGAAATGGCCATCGTAGCTTTGAAAATGCTTTCGGCAGCCTGCAGAGCTTTGAGCCTCTCGGAGCTTGCGTAGGCAGTCACCCTGAGTACAGCATCCCCAGAAACCACAAGCATCACCGCGCTGTCGAAAAAAGTGGACATTCAAAAAGTGCTGGGCCTCACACAACCTTTCATCATACCAACAAACGTCAAGGACTGTGAAAAGCAACAAATCCGCTTGGCTCATCAGTCGGTCAGAGATTTCTTGGCCACAAGAGCGGATCGCCTTGTGACTCGGTTATCAACCGACAAATTTGCACTCGAAGACACACATACCACCAGCGCAGCTTCCCAAGAACCCGAAGTCTTGGCCCTAGATCTCTGCATTCGGCATCTGCTCTTCGAAGAAATCGGCACGCAAAGCCTGCTATCAGACGAGCAAAAACTTCCTCGACGAACTTCCCGCAGAAACCGATCTCTTTGAAACAGAAATTTCCGGAGCGCAAGGAATACACCACCGACTGCTCTTGGGAAAAGTGGGAAGCCGATCTGGTCCGCATTTCCCCTCAAGAACGCAATTCTTCGTCTACGCATTATGCACATTGGGTAGAATAGACCATCTTGGAGCCGCCAAGCCAAAAAAAAAATCTTCCAGACTTATTATGATAAGCCTGGGAATTCTGTCCTCGACACGACTTGAAAACTGGATCGAACAAAAAAAAACCCCCCCGTCGTCCGGGCTGTGCACTGCAAGCAAGATTCCCTTGCTTTTACGATCCTCTCGGTGTTTTCGCACTGTACGGCTCCGATGCCATGCTCCCGCTTTCATCTTTCAATCCTTCGATTACACCAGCACCAGAGCTGCGGAGGAAGAAGTGATCCGATGCTCGCATCATCCAAGCCGTTTGCGTGTCCTGGTCCGCGGGCTGGTAGTCATTCCTTTGTTTCTACCGATTCGAGTGGATGGAGTGTGAGGGCGATGAGCGCTGCATGAGCGAATCTGTCGTGTCGGCTTGTACGAGTGCTGATGACTTTCTGATGGGTAGTTCATCCTCGTAGGTTACCAGCAAGATCTGAATCGCGCCGAAAAAGATTGCACGGAGCTCTCACCTACTGGCTGGCTTTATCGCCACTAACTCTGACATCTGTCCTCCGTGGATGCCTGAGGTTTTACTTACTTACTGGTAGTAGTGTCTACTAATTGTTTGATATCGATGACTACTAGAGAATTTTTTTTTCTCTAATAAAGTCTATATATTAGTAGGTAGCTCAAAGATGATTTTCGTTCCGCTTACAATAGAAGAAGAGAATTGAAAAACCAAAAAAAGACACGATCTTGATCGAGTCTGCGTTTTATCTGGTTGGTTGGACAGATGTTTTCTTCATTCACTCACTCACCGAGCCGGCCGGCCCGAGCGTCCAACCTACCGGGGACACACACACCTTTCAATCTTATATTGTCCTCATCGTGGCAGAAGATTTTTTTCAACCCACTTCCAAAACAAAAAATCTCAACAGACACCTCCAACCTCCGTCGCGCGTACCTCATGCACTGATCCATCCGTCGACATGAATTCTCATTCTCCAGCACTACCACCCCCTTCCGCGCGACGACGAGGTCGAGACAAAACCCCCCTCTCCCCCTCAACCCTCCAAGAAAGCGCCCGAGCCGGCACCCCGAATCCCTTTTCCGACCGTTTCGCCGCCCAGCCACCTCAAGAGCAAGAACGAAAAATCAGTGGTATATCACCAACAAGAATCACCGGTCGTCAACTCGGAGGCGTAGAATTCTTAGTCCCAGATTGGAGTAAAATGCAACCACGCGAAGGGGTGGGGAATTGTGGAGATGAAGATTCGGATAATGTTTTCGATGATCGTAGCTCGCGGAGCGGAAAGTTTGAAGCTAGTGCGGGTGAGGTGAGGTATAAGAAGCTCCCGCCTGATCCGGCGATGTTTGCGCGACATTGCAGGATGAGGGAGATTGGTCATGGATCGGTGCCACCGACAACGACAACGACGAAAAGATTGGGGAGAAGACCGCCGAAACGGTATGTGCGGTTGGTGAAAGATTACGTGGAAGTGGGAGCTTTGCCGGATCGATGGGTGAATTTTCCGCGGGGGAGGGACGGGGAGGAAGTTATGGAGCCTTGTGAGGGTGGTGCGGAGATTCCGAGTCTGGAGGGGGTGTTGGAGCTGGAGCTTTCGAGTCGGGGGCGTGGGCGTGGGGTTGGGTTTCTTCCGCCTGCTGTTGAGGATGATGAGAGACAGGGGACGAAATTGGGAAGGAGAGGGAGATTTGATCAGTCGCCGGATTCTGTTTCTTCGTCTTTCCTTGAGGAGCTCGAGGATAGTCTTGTCGCTGGAGAGAATTTGGGGAGGATTGATTCTCAGGGTCAGGAGGCTCGGACAAGCTTAGATCGTGGAGAGGCGAGGCCAGAGCTGTAATAGGGAGAGTGCGAGCAGCAGTGTGAGGGGGCCTCGCACGGATGGCTAGATGATGGCACAACTTGCTTCTTATAGCCGTTTCGCGTCTCTCACACCTGGATCACATTCGCAGTCAGCAATTGCTCGTGGCTTTATGGAAGCAAGATGAGCAGGTTAACAGCATGGGCTCCACATCAGCCGAGTTTGCGACATGGACCCCAACTTTTTTTCGCCTCTCTTCTACCCGGATCTGATCTACTATCATCAGCAGCAGCTCGAGACTTCATGGGAGCAAGAAGAGGTGATCCAGGGGCGTTGGTTCACTATCGCGGGCGTGGTGTTACCTCGGCTGAGCCTTGCTGTGCAATGCCCCCGACAGCGGCTTTTGGTGACAATGGAGGGAGGTGGTATGTCGAGACAGCCGAGTTGATTTCGCACTGGCACATGGATCGCCTCAGCTTCGATGGCTCGCCATGTGGCGTAAACTGCCAACACATCGCTTCGTCACGTGGAGAAAGATGTCGTTGATGTTTGACTCGCCTTGCATGGAAGGCGGCCGATTGTTCTTCTTGATCTGCAACAATGCGACTTCCAGATAGCACTCGGTGTCGACATGCCGCTGCAAGCAGATCTCAGTTGCTCGATCACATGCAGGAAGAGACAATCTCTTCGGGGAGCGATGCAAACTTCCACTGCTTGAAGTGCTTCGAAAGTACCTGGTACATGCATCCAGACGCAGCGGAGCTCCTCTTCTGCCAGGATGAGGGTCTGGACTTGGGGTCAGCTGTGCAGTGCAGATGATGTTGACGCTGCTGATCGTCATACACCGATCAGACAGGTTGTTTTCCTGCCTTGACGGCCTGAGGCAGTGCGTATGGACGGCCGTATTGTGCTGCACTTACTACTTAGCCGCGGGCGTTGCTTGATCCCAACGCGGGCTCGCCGTGTCGCACAGCATGGCGTTTCTGACGTAATCCGTCCGCACGCTGAAGCAAGGCACACGAGAGTTCCACGCCGGTAACAATGGGCGAATGTTGTATGGTCGGGCGCGAGCGGGAGGCAGATGGCGATGCCGTTCGGCGGACTCGCCTCGCCTCGCCTCGCACAATACACAATAATACGACAGTGGCAGAGATTGCGTTTCAGGTGTGCACGTCTCCGGCACGTAGGGTGGATCAATAATAATGCATACTACGCAGCTGCAGCTCGTGGGCGTTGGCTGCAGGCCGGAAGGTGGAATGCACCAAATGCAGCACTGTACATGTGTGAGAACGAGGCAAAGGCGCATCGGCATCGCAGAGGCAGAGCTGTGGCACGTGTGTTGGATTGGTGGTTAACTTCCGGGGCATTGAATACTCACCACAGGGACCCTGCAGACTGCATCAAGAATCACTGCACAGTGCACACCGACTTGACTTGGACAAGGCACGTGATATGATCTTCCCCGCCTTCGCTTCGGCTGTTCGAATGTGCCAAGAGAAGGGTCGCGGGCTGAGTGAATGCCGACCACATGTGGCAGCAATGTGAGAGCGTGCCATACCGGTAGAATATGGCTGCACGCAAGCTGGACGCGCTGCGGCACATCCACAGCTGTATATAAAGACGGGCTCCCAACCGCCGCCGACCAGAACAGGACAGGATGGTGACGAGCAGCGTGTCGCTTTCTGGACGCCTGCTGACGGCTGGCTCGAAGGCAGTTATCCCAGCCTGCATGGCTAGTTCGTGCAGAGCGCTGCGATGATTGGCGCCGTGCCCTAGTCGGATGCAGTACAACTGCATGCACTCTCACCGCAACTCTTAACCCGCGCTCACTCCAGCGTACTGCCTGCCAGTCCAGCGCTCTCCGCTGCTGGCCTGGCTCTCTGCTGCGCCGGGCACACACTTGGTGTCGCCTTTCAGCGCTCGACCTGACAAACTCGACCAGCGGTGTGAACAACATTCGACTTTCACGCCGCAGTCTGCCCAGCATGGACGACTTCGCCCACCACTTCTTTCTCGAGCCCTCCGCACCAGCGGCAGCAGCGCCGCCCGACCCACCATCGAACGCCTACCCGCCATTCTACCACCAGCAACACCACCAGCAACAACACCACCAGCAGCACGCACACGCACACGCACCCGCACACGCACACGCACCCGCACCCGCGAGTGCTTGGCTGCCAAATAGCCTCGAAGCCATGGAGCAGGAAAGCGCGATGCAGCAGCAGACTCGCCAGCAGCAGGCACAGCAACAACACCAGCAGACATACCAGCCGCCGCCGCAACAACCCTACGCCCACGCCCACGCCCACGCCCGCCCAGCGTACATGTCGAGTCAAGAACAGCAACACCACGATGCGAAGCCGCAAATCTCGAGCCGGCCCAGCAGCAACCACAGCAACCAGTCAATCAACCTGCACACCACCAATTTCGATGGCTTCGACTACAACATGCTGCCCACGAGCTGGCAGTATCACATGCAACAGCCGGCCCAGCAACCTCAATTTAGCAATCAACCGGACGCCAGTGCCTTCAACATGAATGCCTACAATGCCTCCTCATTTGGTGCTCAGCTACACACTTCGCCTGTCGACTTCATGCCCTCCACGAGTGCTGAGACATACCCCATGTCCACCGGCATGGACACTGCCAACTTCATGACCATGCCTGGCCCCGTCGAGTCGATGAATGCCTTCTACCCCAACACTGAATACGACATGTCGAGTTTCTCCATGGCTCTCAACCACGCCGCTCTTCAGCAACACAATGCAGAGTCCATACACTCAAGCATCCCGGGAAGCTCCCCGACCGGAACGATACTGGAAGTCGCTTCACTCTCAGACAACGAAGGCTCATGGTCAATCGTCAACTACAACCCACAACGTGCATCACTTGACTCTTTCGGCACTGTGTCGAACCCAAGCCAGAACCTTCACATCCGCACCAACTCAGATTCATCGACATCAGATGGCCCATCCTCGGCTGAACTTTCGAGTAGTTGGGAGGAGGTGCCATCTTGGCCACTGCACTCGCCACATGACCTTCACGGTGAAGACTATCTCCACGCACAGTATGCCGCATACCAACACTCACACGGCATGTCATGTCACGGTCACCAGCACACCTCGCCTGCGTCTTCATCGGCAGTAAGCCCCCAAGGTGCACCGGCATCATACCACCGCTCGAGTTCATCATCAACATCACCAACTTCATCGGGACCGGTGTCTCCTCCACTCCGTCGTCGCAAGTCTCCTCTTGAAGGCAAGACCACCAAGCCCGTGATCAAGAAGTCGCTGCACTCCAACCGGAAAGATTCCATCGCCGAGAAGAAGGTCGGTCGCAGACGTGGTCCACTCAGACCCGATCAGCGCCAACAAGCACACGAGATCCGAAAGCTGCGTGCTTGTCTCCGATGCAAGTTCTTAAAGAAGACCTGCGACAAGGGTGAGCCTTGCGGTGGATGTCGGCCGAGCCACGCCCGGTTGTGGCAAGTACCATGCACACGTATGGACATCAAGGACATTGGTTACTTCATGAAGGACTGGAAAGCCGACTATGAGCGACACGTCTCGCTTGGATTCAGTGTCGGCAACATCAAGGGCTTCAGTGCCGTGGAGCGCACTCTTTACGTCACACACGGCTATGGCCACTACCTACCCATCGAGGCTCGTGAGGTCTTTGTGCGTGATGATCAGTGCTTCGGCATGGATTGGGTCGAGACTACAAGGAGCGAGGTTCCGGAAGAATTTGAGATTGCTACCGCCAAGCTGTCAGCTGGCATGGAAGGAGTCAGCACAGCCAGGCTGTCCGAATATCTCGATCGCCACCTGGACATGGGCTTTGAGAACTTCGTCGACGAATACTTCGAGGGCACCAAATTCCTCACCGAGATCCTCAAGACCGTTCACCGCTACTACCTGAAGGAGAAGACACCCTGCATACGAAAAGCATTGAAGCTTGTCCTCGCATACAACCTTACTCTTCACGTGACCATGGTCGAGGGTCTTTCGGAAGAAGAGTCATGGACTGGCAGAATCGGCGATGACAAGTCAAAGTTCTTTGGCAAGACCATGGCACCTGTCATGATCAACTTCCAGGTCAAGTGCGCTCTGGCCGACATGTGGCGTGAGCTGCAGAAGGATATCCTCGAAGAATTGTCGTCATTATACTCATCCGTCTACTCTGGTGAGAAGCTCAAGAACTGGCCAACCATCTTCATGCTCGCAACCATTCTGCTGGCAATCTGGGAGGAGATGCAGTTCGACTGCCACTACCGCGTACCGGACGAGGCAGCTGTTCAGAAGTTCTGCGACGATATGGAGACCACTCCAGTTGGTGTCATTGTCGGTCTCTTCCAGGCCATCTCCACCAAACTTCCAGGTTTGCAGGAGTGGGACACCAAGAAGCATCATCAGCTTTTGGGATCCAACATCGCCGTCTGTGACGCGTTGACTGAAGTCCGCGGCCACGTCAACAAACATGGTAAGTTCATCTGCGCGTTGCCGCCACTCAGCACTGACATTGCATACAGAGAAATACCTCAAGGAGCGACAGAACGCCAAGTTCAACCGCGACGACTTTGACTGTCTTAGCAACAAGTTCTTGAGCAAGCTCGTCATCCGCGCGAACTAGTGGTTGCGTACTTGATGTGCTACACTCTCATTTCACGATCTTGACGAGTACCGAACCTCACGACGACGACCCTTGTCCTGGCAATGAATACACGGCCGGGCAAACGATCACGGCCGGACAAACTATTACGGCCGAACCACCCAAACGATTGGAACGAAAAGCATACAGTTTCCTTGAGTCAACTACTACTTCTTCTTACGCTTGACACTGCTGTCACAGCTACGACCTTTTGTCTGCAATACGCATTTTAAGCCGTGAAATCTTGCGATGATACACCATGGAGTACGAAAATCACGCCACAGACGATTGATTTTTTGAATTTTGTCTTCTTGGACGACGAAGGACTTTGCGAAGGTGTTTATGAGAAATGGATAGGATAGGCTGCAAATAGCCAAATGAGAGATGCGTGCGTGTGTGTGGCTGGAGCATATTATGAGTCACGGCATGGATGGTTGGATGGAGATTCAGTTGGATGGATGGATGTGCTGTAAGATAAGACATCCTATAGTGCGAATGAATACTTGAGATGCTACCACTGCTTCCTCTACTGCTCCTACTCCTACTCCTACTCCTCCTACTCCTCCTACTCCTACTCCTACCCCTACTCCTACTCCTACCCCTTCTATATTATAGGAAACATATATTAAGGAACGTAGAACGTAAACCTTTATAGAAAGTAGATGACTAAACAAAAACTGTTACGGTAGGCACGGAACGCTAGGCCTAGTATATACTTCTATAGTACCGTAGATACTCCTATAATACTATACTATTATATAACTACTAATTCGTCCCTTATATAACAATTAGTAGCTTCGCTTTAGTTAGATCTAGACCCGTTTAAATAGTACCTAAGTACTAGACGATCGGGTACCTTAAAAAGTAAAAAACCCTACCGCTGCCGCTTAACGCGACCGCGAGGTCCCGTACTAGCGGTACCTACCTACTATATTTACCTACGTTCGATACGATTACGATAGTCCTCCGATTTCTGTATGCTATCTTCTATATATACACATATCTATATAGCGACGGCGCCCTACGCTACCTAATTCGCCTATCTTCTAGATAGCGACTAGGCCCTATTCGCCTTTCTTATTAGGTTTGTTTATACTATACTAATACCTACCGAAGTAGGAACTAGCCGAAGCAAGAGCCTATAAGCGGATACTAGCCTAGTCCCTCTACTCTATACTCTATACTTATCCCTCTACTCTATACTTATCTCTCTACTCTATACTTATCCCTCTACTCTATACTTATCTATAAGACTAACGAGCAGACGCTTATTTTATAATATACTAGCTTCCGTACGCCCCGACTTAGACGCCTACTTATTAAACATCGCTTTCTACTTTAAGGAGTTCTTAGCTAACGCCGGTTACGCTAAGTTAGTATACTAGAAATAGAGAGACCCGTTAAAAGCAGTCGTTACGACGATTACTACTTATTATTAGCCTCTAGAAGAATAGATACCGCGAAAGCTCTCGGACGCTAGAGGTAGTACTACCCTCGGTTTCCCTTAGGATTAGGTAGTTAACCGCTCTTTAGTTACGGTAGTAGCAAAGACGCTAATAGCAATCTATAATTAACTTAGCGTTTTAGATACAATAGAACCTAACGATTTAGCGGCTCCTATTCTAGAACTAGTACCGCCTTCCCTAGAAATAGTAGTGCCTATAAGTGTAAGTCCGGATACTAGTCTATAACTACGCCGCCGTAGGACGATTTTAGTAGCTAGTACGCGACGGGATATATATATATACGCTATAGGTCCTTACCGATTATTTTTCCCCTAGGCCTACGGAAACTTAGTACCTCGGAGCTTTTAGCCCTAAATAGCCTAGGATCCTCTTTATTAGGTCCGGAGTAGCAATAACGCCCTAAGTAATACTATCCTAAGTCTAAATAGTAGGAGCTTTAGTAACGACATTCTAAGACTATATAGTAGAGTACTAGTTAATAAAGTACCGATGTAAGAAGGGTTATATTAGCAGGTAGATAGGGTGGTAGTAGGTATAAGTAGTATTCGATAGAGAACTAGGAGGAGAAGGAGGAAGGTAGGCTAGTTAGCCTAACGCCAAGCGCTAAGCCCTGCCTAAGGCACTAAGACCCTAGCTTTACTCGAGCTAGTTATATACTAATTACGTATAGCCTCTAACACACGCTTCCCTTCTAAAGGCCGCGCCCTCGTAGCCTGTCTATGTTCTAATCTCGACCTCTATTGCTACTAACTTAGTAAGTCTAATAAGTTGCTTAGCCCGCGCTAAATTAAATACTTAACTACCTAATTATATAACTATATCAAACTTCACCTCTAATACAATACTATATTTAACTCTAACTACGCTATTACTATATATAACAACCTATAAAGTAATATATATCTATAAGAATTAAGGGCCTTCGACTAATTATAATACGAGCGCGTCTTCCCTACTATAATAGGTAGACGTACGAGGTATTATAGCCCTACCTCTGTTCTAAGTAATGTCGTACCGAGTTCTTTGCGTCTACTCTTAAAAGACCTAGCAATGTCCGCTTCCGAGGGTTTGTCCGCTTCCGAGGGTTATTATTCTTATTATTACGAGGACTATTATTTACTATCGTAGTTTTACTAGCCCTAATTAGTTCGGTTTGGCAGCCTTCAAGTGTTAACTAATTATATCTTTTCAAAAAACTTAGTTCTTCTAGTTTCTATAGGTAAAGGCTATTATAAGTGTAATAGTTAAGGTTCGCTTCGCTTAAAGGGTCGGAAAGATCGAGGAGTAACCTATTATCCGCAAGATCGACCCCGGCTAGCTTAGCTCTATAGTTTTTGCCCTTAGTTAGTTAGTCTATTAGTCTACTTAATCTTTTAAGCGGCTTAAAGTTTTAACTTGGCCTTAAAGTTTTAATTAAACCTTTAACGTAGCTATTCCTTTAACTTAACCGGTATAGTACGCTCCGGCTCGTAGTATAGGTAAGGTTGTGCCTATAGGCGTAGCGATAATAGCAAGTAATGTTAACAATAGCGGCGCTAGTCGTCTTAGCGCTAACTTTACCTCGCTTCCAATCTTCTTCTTTATCTAATAATAACATTAGTAACACCGTTAACGATATAGTCGCGTCGTCTTCCTTCTTCGAATAGTAACACACCCCGTAATACTATTACTAATATAGGCGTGCCGGCTGCTAACACACTGCTAGCTCGTAGCGCGACACTATTATCTCTATTACTGTTATTCGCGCGCGCGTATCGCCCTTATCGGTTGCTTAGGCCTCGAGGCCTCGATAAAATAAAGGAACAAGAGGTAGAATCCTTAAAAGAGTAGTAACTAATTAATTAACGCGTCGTAGCGCGCCTAGTATAGTCTTATTGTCCTAGTTTGCCGGCCTCCGATTAGTTAGCTAATAGCACCCCGGGGGTAGCATTAGTCCTAGGCCTTAGTAGTAATATTATAAGTTTTTAGCCTTCTTCTTGTTCTTTACGCTAGTCTAATACTTATCTAACAACTTAGTTATGTCCTTAAAGGAACCTTTAGCTTCCTACGAGTCCTATTTAGGTAGATATCCTTGCTATCTTAATAGGTACTCTTTCTTGCCTTTCCTAGTCCGGTACTATAGGATACGTTCTATAGACTATAGCTCTTTACTATCCGCTAGTATGTCTTCGTGTTTAGTAGGTGCTTTATCCCCCTCGCGTAGGTAATATAGCTTTAGGAGGGATACGTAGAAGGTGTTATAGATAGTATAATAAGGGGGAAGCTATAACTAATAGGCCTATACGGAGGAGCTCTTAACTTCTCGAATACGGAATAGACTAATATATCTTAGTACGAGCTTGGGCCTTGTTTTACTGTTAGGTAATAGGTGCTTACGGATACGGAGGTTCTTAGTACTTAGTATAACTATGTCGCCTTGCTTAAAGGTTATCGGTATATAGTGTTTGTTATAATAGGCCTTCTAATAGGCCTAGGCCTTTGCTAGTTTGTTAGCTATCTTAGCGTGAATTTCTCGCATCTTTTGAACCCTCTTAATAGCCGCTAGTGTCTTAGGTTGACCTGCTTCCCTTTCCTTACGCTCGGCCTCGAGCGATAGGGGGTCTTATAGTAGCGCAGGGTTGCTTCCTATTATAGCGAAATAAGGTAACACCTTAGTAGATAAGTAGACACTGTTGTTATATACGAATTCGGCTAGTTATAGGAGATTAACCTAGTTATTAGGGTTCTTATTAATGTAGCTACGTAGGTACTACTATAGGGTAGCATTCTATCTCTCTATTTGACCGTTAGTCTATAGATAGAAGGCTGTTAATAGCCGATGCTTTAGTCTTAGCTATAGGTGTATTTCGCTCTAATAGTGCGATATAAATATCGAGCCTCGGTTAGAGACTATCCCCTTAGGGGTTCCCTAATAGCTATAGAAGATATTATTCTATAGTAACTTAGCTAAGTTAATAGCCGTCTAGTCCTTTCGAGCGGGGATATAGCGAGCGCCCTTAGTAAACCGGTCTACGACAACTAGGATAGCATTATATATATCCTTGCTACCCCTACGCTTAGTAGGCAGAAGGCCTATAATAAAATCCGTTATAAGCTTAGTAGATAGCTTCCCTAGAACAGGGAGTAAAGGTAACTCGCTAAATAGTAAGTGTTTCGGTGCTTTAACTCGTTAACATATAGTATACGTGTTTACGTAGTCCTTTATATCCCGCTTACTATTTAGCTAGTAGTATATACGCGATAGTAGCTCGTACGACCTCTCTATGCTATAGTAACCGGCAAGCTCACTATTATAGTGTCGCTTAAGAAGCTCTTATCGGATCGAATGCTCGGTAGGGATATAGAGCCTACCCTTATAGCGCAAATAGCTATTAGTATCAATCGACTAATTCTTACTAGATTTAGTCTTACGGCCACTTCTAAGCTAATCTATACGAGCAGTAGCAAAAGCGTCCCTTTGCTAAGTACGTAATAGCTTATCTATAAACGCTCGTCTATCCCCTTCTATAAGTTCGC